TTTTTTTTTTTTTTTTTTTTTTTTTCAGTTGAATTATACTTAAAGTTCAGGGTAATCAATTGTTAAAAACAAACTTTTCAACATTTTTTTTTTCAATAAATGGATGTTTTCAAAGTCAATCGCATTTAATAATCGCAATTACAATTATTGACCCAAATAATCGAGATTATGATTTTTGCCATAATCGAGCAGCCCTACTCTTGAATGTGGATAGCTATGTGTTCTTGTTACAATGCAGCAGTATTTGTATGACTATCACTCAATATATCTTTCAACAAATTACAGTTTAGAGATTCAACTTTATAGGTTTGACAAGCCTGGTGATTAAACTGTCAGCGTGTCTGCTCTGTTTCTGACCTTCTAACACAGCTTTGATGGAGAAATGCTTTTTAATTTGAGTGATTCGACAGCTAGGGCCTCATTCGACGAGTCAACTTGTTTCTAAAAGGCCCGCTGGTGCTTTGGGAAATGCTTTGAAACGCTCCCGAGCTCTCTTTGTGAAGAGCTAATTAGACTTATTAAGACGGAGGACACGAACTCACAAGAAACTCATCAATGAGCCGGCGATACGTTTCAGAGAGCAGCATCTCTTTTGATAAGAGTCTCATCAATAAGAGCGTTTGAAGTCAGAAGAGAGTAAAGGTCCGAATGAGGGAGGCGGTTTAGAGCCACAGGTTCATCTGTTCTGTGATACTCTGAGACTTAGAAGCTGTAATGACTGTTATCGGCCTTTGTCATGAAAGCAGGAGGATAATCCTTGCTATCATTCTGCATAATAACGAGTTATCGGTGACACTAATAGCTAACTTAAAGGGGACCTATCATGCAAAATGCACTTTGTGATGTCTTTTATACATAAAGATGTGTCCCCGGTGCGTCGGGGAACTCACGCAGTGTCAGAAAATAAAAACCTCTCTTTTCCTCCGTACCCAAATCTTTTAAAAACGGGTGTACAACGAGCGGATACAGATTCCCATCCGCTGTGACGTAATAGCGGCGGTGGGCACACAGAAAGTTGCTATCAGAAACAATGCCTGACGTGTTTTGGACGTCTTTGTTTACATTAGCAAGCCTCGCTAACACTCAGAGCTAACTTGTACTGGAGAGCGCGTGTTTAAAAACCAGGAAATACAAAAGGAACTCACCTTGTGATAAACCCGCAAGAGAAAAAGCATTTGAGCTCCA